TTTTTCTGTGTGATCTTGTGTGGTTCTTCAACAGACATCCATTTTATCCAGGGAAAAAATAAGCCAAGCAAAATGCCCAGTCAATTTAAAGCAGGCAAAATTTACCTGAATTAAGTCAGATAGCCTTTCTTAGTCAGCACTAGATAATACAGTCCAGATTTTATATCTACACTTGATATAATAATATTCCTTTTATGTATGCTGTAGTTTTTGTATATTGTATTGTGTGCCAGAAAAGTTACCTAACCTTTCCAGACCTTTTCAAACTGTTGACTGACATTATCCCCAACTCCCTGTGGTCAAAGTCTCTTTTGCTTGCTGAGGAGCCTGATCCAGCGTTCCACACGGGATAACCATGGAGTGAGAGATATTTCTATCCCCCCACGGCAGTTATACAGTTGGGTGGCTGGAAGGCTGTCATTAGCTCTGTGTATGTGTGAATGTCAGACAGGCGGTCACTGGGGAGGTGATCTGAGAATTGGGGAAAAATTGCTGGCCAAAGCAATCCTGGAGGTGCCCTTGGCTCAGTTTAGTATTTGTTCCAGGAGAGTGGAGACACGGTAGGGGGAGGCAGGTTTGCCGAATGCAGATTGACTGAGCGCGGTGGAATATTCAGGAGCTGTAACGACTAGCTTTTGTGTGTGTGTGTGTGTGTGTGTGTGTGTGTGTGTGTGGTGTGTGTGGTGTGTGTGTGTGTGTGTGTGTGTGTGTGGTGTGTGTGTGTGTGTGTGTGTGTGTGTGTGTGTGTGTGTGTGTGTGTGTGTGTGTGTGTGTGTGTGTGTGGTGTCTGCATATCTTTGTGGCCATCTCTCTTTTTGTATTGACTCGATGTTCCAACGTTCGTTTGGAGCTGTAGGCTAGCCAAAATGTCTGCATTATAGTGATGGCGTGTGTCTGTCCGTGTTGCAGTCTACACCTGTTTGTGTATGAACATGTGTTCACAGACGCATAAGCATGTGTGTTGACTGTAATGACGGGTTTGGAGTTTGCTGCCGGTGAAGAGTTTATCATTACTCTAATCCCTCTGGAGAGATATTCTCTTGCCTAACCCTCCCACACATATCCTTCTCTGTGCTCAGGCCGGCAGATAAAATGTGTTGTTTGAAAAATGCACCATCATTTTTCAAATAGAAAACATTATGCAATTGGAAAATTGTATATTTTTACTTGGCTTGTCATTGTACTGTGTACCTTCCTCTGCTGATTGGATCACTGTGTTTATTCTGGCCCCTCTTGGCTCTGTCTGTTTAGTGCATCTCATAGCTCACTCACTCTTAACTGGTCAATAGATGGCTTACTTGCAAAATGTTGAGTTGTTGAAGAGATGTAGGAGGTGTTACCTTTTTCTGGCAATCCGCTAGAGACCAAAAATGAAAGTCCTCATTATTCACATGCAAAGTGTGTATGATTTTCTTATCTAAAATCACTAATACTGTTTTAGTCACAGTTTCTTCTGGGAAATAATTAAATTAGATGCCAAACTTATAATGAACATAAAAACACACTTCTGCCTGTCCTTCAGACTATGTTGTTTTTGCTAGAAAGAAAAGGAAAACTCTACCTCTTTCCAGTACAAAACATCCATTCTGTAAATACAGGTAGAAAGAAAAACAGTGTGTGAGAAAAGGATTGTGGCAAAGCCGGGTGTATCTGGGCTCTCAAGCTGTGCTGCAGGGCACTTATTCTAAATGCTAAATGTGTGAGCAAGTGATTGGTGCAGCACTGCCAATGTACTTCCTTGAGAATGCAGTGATGGGAGTGTGGGGGGATTACAGCTGTGTGGGTACTAGGGGTCTGACAAAATAAGACCACCTTAGACAATTTAAGATTAGAATTGAAGCTGAGGGATGGAAATTGTGGCCTTAGTGTAACCATTAAAGCACAATGTACAGTACCCAGAAGATAAGATTAGGCTGTAGCCCAAAGCTGCGCTTCCGAGGGATGCTATTGAGCCTGAGGCTTTTGGAGATCTCTAGTCAGCTGGTAAAACTCTCTATGTTTCAAAAACAGTTTTCTCACAATCAGCCAGTCCTCATAGCCTGTGAACAACTAGGACAGATGACAAGAGCTGTGTTATTGTGCTGAAAAATGAGCTGATTGGAATTTTATGTGCTAGATCATCATTTTCAAGCTATTTTGTGTCAGTATCTCACATCAGACTGGTCGTTAGGAGCAGGTGGCTGCCCCATCTAGGCGTCTGCCAATAGATAATCGACCAAAGGCCCCCTCAGCAGGGCCACATTGATTTGGCAGAAGGGAAAGCTGGCCCTTTCTTCACAGCACCAAACTCATCTACTGCTCTTTCATGTATGTTTTTAGGAATGCAGAGATGGTACTGCTATAGCTGTCTTAATCTTTGTCTGAGTGCCTCTTGAGATTGTTGAGAGCATCGTGCTTTTCACACAGGCAACTCTACACAGTCTCATCACTCCATATAAATGAGAAGAATCCTCCACCCTACAATCCTCCGAAGTCCGATTTGAAGCAACCCCATTCCTCGCAAAGTATAAAGACTGGTGATGACAGTCGTCCGCTCATAGATCAAAAGCTCATGGCTACCAAACTGTGGAGCAGCCCAGTAGTAGATGTTCCTCGGCCCTTACCATCCCCCCTGCCTCATCAACATTCTCTCAGTATGGACCCGCCCTGACACCTGCTCCTACTGCACTCATTTTGCTCATGATTAAGATGTCAGTGTAGTCTCTGTTCAACACATGGCATGGTAATAGACTGACAAGCGCATATTGTTATAGACATTGCAAATCCTGTTTGGGTTGAGCTGCACAGAGCATAAAAAAACAGAATTATTTAAAGAAAAGACACCAAATTGTAGCTTAAATACAATTTAGTAATTTATATCAACACTTCTCAAAGGAAAAATAATTTCCAGTAATATCTGAGGTTGTTGTCAACAGTGGTCATTTGGATTTGGTTATTAAGTGGGATCTGCTGATGGCAGCAGATTATTGCTCGGCAGAACTCCTGTTGCAGTCATTGGACCATCTGTCCTACCTCAGCCAATGACATTTGAATGATACTTTGGCGATGCAAAATGCATGAAACTGTGCCCTGTGTGTTTCCTCTGGTCAGCGACAAATCCAGTGAGCATTCTCGTTTAGACAGAAATGACTCAAAATATGTCCCAGATGGGCTTGAAAGCCTACACGATGAAAGAGCTAATGCTAGCCTTCTAAGTCCACACTGAAAGTATAAGAAGAGAAGTATGAAAACATGCTCCTCTTTTCACCATGCTGTCATCGTATTATATATAACTTATGAGTACACTGCGTATGCCAGTCTTCTTCATGGCATTGCTTGCTGTTTCACATTGCATTGTGTTAATTGGCTACTCCCACCAGCTGGAAGTAATGTTAATACACTGAGGAAAAGCTGCCACGCTAGCTTCCTGGAGCGCTTAAGTGTGCCAGGGCATCTTGCATGCATCCCATAGCTGGAAGTAAACTCTTTGATGTGATTGCTTCTGAGAAACGTCATCATTTATTGATGCTTCCATTAAAGTAGCATAGGCGTCTGTGTAGAGATGGAGAGGAGGGAGGGGGCACACTGGTGGGAAGAGGAGCTTATGAGCTAACTACACAGAAAATGCTCTCCCATCCACGCCAGCACCATTAGCCTTTCACTTCTTCTCCCCAAATCCTTGGCTTCATATCTACAGTCCTACACCAAGCCAAGGATGAAGTGTTTGCTCCATCGATCCAATTTTTGGGATAGCTGATGCAAGCTAATGGATGTTTGTTTGGTTAAGTTGTTATCTAATGATTTTAAGAAGTGCATGACATCAAGTTTTATTTGAGGTGAATGACCTGACTTAATCTTGAAATCACTTAAGCTTCAAAGTGGCTGGCTAGTTTCCTAATGCCTTAATTTGACAACATCTGCATCATTATTTTAAGAAGTCTTGAGGTTACGTCAGCCTTCTTATCAAAACAGGTCTGAAATGATCAACTTGCAAAACTTCATTAAAAAGGATGTTAGCAGCTTTATTGGAAAATTGACTTTCTAGAGCCATAAACATTTTTAAAGGAAATATGAAACATTATGAAACCTTTTCATCACATTTTTATACCCTTAAGTGTGTTTAGTGTGGATTTTCCATTTATGAATTCAAATATGTCAAGAGTTTATGTGATTGCATCAAACTGCATATTGCCTGTGAAATCCCAACCGAATGTTCACTTGTTCTGTACAGCAAATGTTCCTGTTTAATAAGTTGTATCTCTAAAATGTCAGCATTTCACTTCACTACAACATTTTCAGACATATTTCATACACTACAGAATAATTTAACATCACTTAGTTACACTACTTACCTTCTTACTCATAATAATTGTCATTAACATTATCACAGCTGATATTGTCTCATCAGTGTTGAAATGTGTGGGTTAAATAAGAAAGACCAATTACTGAGAGCAGGGAAATAATTGAGGTTAAGAAAGATTATATTTTAAAAGGGATTGGGATTGTAGGGGTTGGGCAATATGGACAAAAATGTTATCACGATAAAAAGTTTTATGTCACTCGATATCGAGTTTAAAGGCTGATTTTTGCTCCTGAGTAAAACCAGATGGTTATTTGTGCTTTTAAACTACTCTTTATGGTTAAAACATGACAAAAACTTCCTAAACAATGTTCTACCTCAGAATTGTTAAGTGATCCACTGTTTGGCAAGTGTTTGCCATGTTCTGACCATAAAAAATAACAAAATCGGAACAAAATTTCGCCTTTAAACTTGAAAGAAAGAATGATTTGACATTTATCGTGATAATTATCGATCAAGTGATATGACATTTTTCATCTTGACATTTTTGGCCATATCGCCCAGCCCTAGTCACAGGGTGGTCACAGCTCCTCCTGTCAAGGCGTCGAGGTGTCATTGGACAAGACACTGGTATGATCGCTGAGTGCTCAGTGTGTGAGTGAGTGATTGAGCAGCCATTTACCATTTAGCTATTTGAATAATATCTGGTATTTCTGTCTTCATTCTAGGGTCCTCCAGGGAAGTGATGGCCACTGTTGAGGTCTCAGAGAAAATGGTCCAGAAGCTGAGAGGCAAGAATGAGTTTACGGTGCTGGTGACCCTCAAACAAGATCACCTCAACTCTGGGGTCATCCTCTCCATTCATCATTCTGATCACAGGTATGATCAGTTCACATTTCACATTCTAACATGTGGAAAAAGTGGAGCACATGCCATTGATTCCAAATATTATATTATTTTGAGATGTATATTTTAGCAGCGTGAGACAAAACTAGAACCCACAATATCACATGGAGGACAGTAAATCTGTTCATAAAGCCCCACAGATAAACCTTAATTAAAGTTGTTTTCTATATGTTGTACCATTCTCTGTTTTGTCATATCAGCAGTCTGTAAGAAGCAGATTGAAACCTCAATATTTGTGTCTGATGAGCATTTAGATGTTTTACACACCTGTCGAGTAAACAAAGCAAATCATCCTGTATGCCAATGTATTATTCACAGTCCATCAACGATCCAAACATTGAGTCTGTAATCGTGGACTGAAAACTGATGAGACGCTATCTGCAGTTAGCATGCTAATGTTTTCCATTAGTTTGTGGTAGCTGAGCCATTGGATGATCAGAACAGCAATCTGGATCCACATAATGCGTTGATTGAACAGTTTGTACATTAAAGTCAGTCCTGAAAGAGAGCTTGCAGGGATGTTAATGACTTTCCCCGCTGCTGATTAGCTTTCCCAGCTATTCATATGCAACAAAGCAGCACTGCATGGTTTCATTTGGAAACATGGCAAGGACTAATTCAGCTTCAGAAGTGTTAGCGAGTGCATTTATGCAGCCGGGATGAATGTGCATGCATGGCTAGGGGAGAGTAAATCTATTAGATTGGGTCTGCAGATAAATAATTTCCAATGCTACACTTGTGTGGTTGTCTATTTGTCTTTTGAATAATGTTTCCAGCAAATTACTCTAGTTTAAAGTCTTTCTTTAAAGGCAGAGGTGATGAGTGTGTATTGGCATCTCTTTCCATTAGTGTCACTATGCTGGGTGAATCTCAGTGGTGTGGAGAACAGGATTCTGGTAGAATACTAATACGCCAATGTACAGAGTTGAACCTCTACATGTGGGCTATTGTTGTGTGTTGCTGATGTTGCACTCAACAGCCAAATAGTACCATTATGCTTTACTAGTGATGTGATTAAATTGTAAATGGTGTTGCAGATCTGGGGAGATGTGTGTGTGTGGTGCTTGGAAATGAGTGACATGTTTATCTGTCAGCACTGTGCTGAGAGGAGCACAGACACTTTTGGTGATGCATGCATGCAAGTTTTTGAGCAAACAGAAATTATGATTAGGTTTTAGTATTGAGACTTTAATGCAACAAGACATACTGTACAATGCAGAGAATGCAAACTGTCATTGCATGGGTGTTACTAGACGCAAGTTGCTGGTGCTTATATTCTGCAGGTTCCTGGAGCTGGAGAGTAGTGGACAGCGCAGTGAGGTGCGTCTTCACTATCGTACCAAAGGCCAACAGGCTCACACGGAGGTGTTCCCCTACAGCCTGGCTGATGACCAGTGGCACAAAGTCTCTGTGGCTGTCAGTGCCTCTCATGTCATACTTCATGTCGACTGCAACAGGTAAGATGCTGGGGATGAATGTTAGCATGTATGCGACAATAAAATATCAAATAAACGCCATATGTGTTGTAGTTTGGGAGAATTCTTACAATGTATGAGAAGGGAGGCTTTCAAATTTTATAACTAAATTAAAATACAGATATGATTTCCTCAGGTGTTTCCAAAGCTAACTTTAAATAGGATGCACAAATACCATATAATGTATTGGTAAAGGTATCGGCCATGAGGTGAATGTTCCAGGTTTAATAAAGTTTTTTGTCAATTGTAATCATTCTGTGTTTCCACTATCAGTTATATTTATTGAGTCAAAAAAAGCCACAGCAATACCTTCCCTTATGTTACTTATCCTAAAAATGATTCCTGTGAGTTCCAGACAGTGAGTTATACAGACTTAATATTTGTGAAAAATAGAACACTGGCATTGGATCAGTAGTTGAATGGGGTATTGGACTTGGTGCATCCCTACTTTAAATGAATATCTGTAGCTGTCACATAGAATTCTTTGTTCAAAGTTAAAATATTTCCTTTCATTTCATGAAAGTGTCCTTAGTCAAAAAAATCTACACAGTGGTGGTTTCAGCTGGAAACACTATTACTACACTACTACTATAACAGTACATTGGCACTTAAATGCAACACTCTTGTTCTATCATTGTTGTGGATTTGAACGGTCTTTAAATTTATACAGTTGCTCAAAATGTTTTAGACCCATTTATACAGTACACACAAGGAATTCAAACCTGAAATTATTTTGTAAAAAGTGCATACTTTCAATTTTAAAACTACCATAATATATAATTATGATGGCTATAAGGAACTTGGTTGGCCAGCTGCATGATTGGACACAAGTGTGTTAGTGTTTTCTGATGGGAAGCCATTGAGGGATCACCTCCTTGTCTCTTATACCATCTAAACTACCCTCCTCTTGATCAGGGGATCAGGGTCTTGAACTGGCCTTTCTATCAGGGAAATGTATTTTCTGATATCAAAATTGAAACATCATTTAACCAGCTCCCCCCAAAAAAGAGATAGAGAAGAAAGAAGAAAAGACGGCACATGTATGGCGCTGAACGAAAAGGTGGAACTGAAACTTATTTGGTAATTAGCAAATTTAGTATATGGGACTACATAACAGACAGGAGTCTCTGCTGATAGTGACATCCAGAGAATAACCTCTGTCAGCTGTCTCACATGACTGGGTACAGTGCAGGTCGAACGCACCTTGAGTTGGTCTGCATTATTCTTGCATCTGCTATACGAAAGGGGTGTTACAGTAGTTGTTTGAAGGATCCTCCCTGGCACAATAAAAAAAAAAAAAAAAAACAGACGGCAACACCATGTGTATTACAGAAAGCATGTGGCTATCTATACCCTCCTCAGGGAAGGAGTTAACAGGAGGATTTAGCAGGGCAGGACCTGCAGTGCAGGGGAAATTGTTATTCTAAATAGATGAAAATAAGTGAATTGACAGAATGTACAACCTGCAGGGATCCTTCACTGTGTATTTGTTTTGCAGGATCTATGAGCGGGTGGTGGAAGCCCCCTACATGGACATACCTGAGGATGCCTCCTTCTGGCTTGGACAGAGAAACGCCGCTCATGGCTTCTTCAAGGTTAGCGCTGGTGTACAAACTTTCCTCACAGAAAATGAGTACTGATGCCTGTCTTGATATGTGATGATTCAGAATGGCAAGAACAATTCATTTATCTTAGCTGCTGCACTAGCTTTTCACCCCATACTTAATCTTGGTTTATACTGTATCTTCTCCCTCTTTGTTTGGCTTGTTTGGTTTTATTTACTGTAGCTGTTGGATTTAATTGCATGCATTTCTCAAGGCTTACCATATTAATTTGAAGTTTACTCTGACTACCCTAGGAATTGACATTTTTTGTCATTGTTTGTTCCCTCTCCCTTAGTCTGCAGCTAAGCCCAGTGCAATTATCTCAGCAGCCCCCACAATGCTGATTTGGGAGAAATCATTAAATAGCCTCTGGACTATGCTCATTAAGCTTAGTCTATAGTCTTGTTTATCAGACTGGGAGACATATATCGCCTTTCCCAGACTGAACTGCACTCCAAAATTTCCCACCTGGGGATACATGTTGGGGCAAAATGTCAGCTTACTGGCAACTATAACTATTTTAATCAGTCTGCTGGTGACTGGCTCTGTGTTTGATGATGTGTTGTGTACCTGCGTGTGTGTGTGTGTGTGTGTGTGTATTTTAATGCTTTACACATTGTGTCCTGGCTGTTGAATTTCCTCTGTGTTAATTGGTAGATGAAAGAAACCTTGGAGGTCAGCCACTAATCTTGTCACGCAGCAGCATCTCTCCCCTCGCCACTCTCTGAATCCTTGATTAGTTGCTAGGAAGGCACATCTCCTTTTAAAACACACTCCTTCATTAGTACACGTACACTCAGACACACAAAAACAGTCAATGTCTGTTGTAGGTGTCAGCTGAAGACGAGAAAATCACATCCCGGTAACATTAATAGTAAAGACGCAGAAATGAGTGTACATGCACCTCTGCTTCACAACTCGGTAAATATCTGCTTTACAGTCCACACACATCAGCCAAATCTATTTTATCTTACTTAGCTAGTGACACAATGTTTGAATTTCAGCAGTTGTAGATTTGTATGCTGATGTAGCAAGTTGTTCTACATCCTAACTTGAAAGGCTAAAAACAATTTGATTCAGGCCTTCCTAACAAGAAACAGCAACCGCTGCAACATGCAAATCACATTTTGTTTGACAGTCAGATTTCATTCGTTATTTTTCAGGATTGTTAGGATAGATGTTTTCAAGATTGTTTGCGGTTTGTAGAAAATGGATGTTGGTGCATCAAAAGAGATCCAACCCTCACTCTGCCACTCCCAAATTCACATTTCCGGTACAGATGGGGCAACTGTGGGTGTCCCACGTGTTACTGCATGCATACTGCAGTAAACAAGAGTGTCACTGACACAGAGGAATCAGTTTGGAGAGTTTAAAATGTTTTCAGTTGCCAGAACGCACAAAACAAAGTCTAGCCACTGGTTGTTTTGATAGTGCTGCATTACAACACATGCTCTGCTTTTAAAGACACAGTGAAATGAAAAATTTTCCATTTCTAAGTCAAATCAGTTCAGTTCAATTGGGCTTTATTGGATCTGCTTTGTAGGACTAGATGTTAGACTAGATGCTGCCTAGACTCTGCGCGAAGGGAGTGATGCCCACGACACCTCCAGAGGGTTCGGCAGTGAATCCCGGTGTCTCGGTCTCAACACCTAGATACCATACACTCACTTAAGGGCTCAGGTAGAGTACTTTCTGTTCATCCAGAGCAACTGACTGCCTTTTTCAGCAGCTCTGCAGATGTCTTTGACTGCTTGCTAACAACATACGCTCATAAAAACAAAAGTAGTAATAACGCAGTATTAATCACAGTACAGAAGTTTACTGTGGATGCATGGAAAATGGGTTCTATGGCCGCAGATAAATGTGTAGTTTTTTGGTTTCATTTCAAGTTTGATAGACGCGACTCCAAGCTGCTTTCATTTCAGCAGGTTGCCGTGTAAAATCAGCAAATAATTTCTGCAGCATTTTAAATTTATGGCCCGTAAATTGAAGTGGCAAGACAATTTAAAAAACAATTTCTCCTAAGTTTCACCGCTTCACTTCTGTAAGGGAAATAAATGCACTCAAGAAATGAAATGGGCCAGGTTACCATAGCGACAGAGTGTGGGTATGTGTATACGTGGGTGTATGTATGTATGTGTTTGGGGCTCGACAGCAGGACAAAAGTAGTTATCAATTGGGTGTCAAATTGAATCTGTATGTCCTGTTTATGCTTATTGCAGGAGATTGGGAGGAAAAATAAAAATTCCATCTACCTACTAAAACTACCACATAATTGGTTCACTTAACTTCCTGTTGGAGTTCGGTTATGAGATGATTCACCTGAGCGACAACATCAAGAGGCATATTATCTTACAACTAACTTCTCTGTCTCTCTCTCACTTACCAGATTTAAAAATACATTTGCACTCACTCTCGGATTTATTGCTATTTCACTATGTTCAGTTTTATGCTCAGTTTAAGGCTCTCATAAACAAGGATGTTGGTTTTGTGTTTGCATGTTCTGCGCAAGCTTGGGTTCCATGTGATCTCATGTGGAAAATGTACTATGAGCACACTTAGATACCACAGCCCCTCTGGGTCCTTATCCACTTACTACACATTAACATGCTTCATCTCATTTTTATTGCCTGTCTGCCCTCTGTAAGGTGTTATTCTCCTTGACTAAAAAGTTTGATGTGGGTCTGCCTGTGCAGGGAGTGATGCAGGACGTGGAGATCCTGGTGATGCCACAGGGTTACATCTCACAGTGTCCAGATCTGAACAGAAGTGAGTGCAGTCTCTTATTTAACACAGCAACAAAGCATTCCATTAAGAGTTTAATTTAACCTAAATTGTCTCTGGTGCTTATTTTACTAGGCACTTGATTGCATTGATTTGTTTTTTTATTTAAATTCTTGAAAAACTCTGCGCTCACTGGAGTCCTGCTAACAAGAAAAAGACACACCTCATGGTTTAAAATCACATTAACTGCATGTCCCCATGCAAAAGTTGACAGGGGACACTGCTTGCTGCGGTTTAAAGTAAATGAGGTCCTCTTGCAGAGGGGACACTGAAGAGAAAAATTGCAATATATAAAAATGAATAAATTACATAATGCTAGTGCTGTAGATCATCATTTATAAAACAAATTTAGTTATTATTTATACAATATTTTTTGAAAACAATATGTGCCTAATCTACTATCTACAACTGTTTTAATTTGTAATATATAATAATAAATTATCATAATTGCAGGTAATTGTATAACATGTACTAAATTACAGTATATTTTCTCTTGTATTTCAGCATGCCCAACCTGTAATGATTTCCACGGACTTGTGCAGAAAATCATGGAACTGCAGGATATCCTTGCTAAAACATCCAGCAAGGTAATGTAATGTGATATAATGTGTCCACAAATCGACTATTATCTTAAAAAATAAAAGTGTGTCACTAACATTCATTGCAACAGGCTGTTGATGACATATTAACATTAGACTTGGCTATTGGTGAAGTCTTTACACAAAGAGTCTCTGATGCAGAGACTCTTTGTGTAAATGGGGTTAATGGTGTCTAATGACTTACTTTTGTGATGCTGATGGTTTTCTTTTGAAGCTCTGCTTTCTATATGTGAATATAGACACCAAACGAGGCAGACTCTCATCTTCTCTCCTTCTTGCCTTTTCTTTTTGGGGCGGGTGGCGTGAGCAGCTGTCCAGGGCAGAGGAGAAGATGAATGGGCTGGATGGCTGCTATTGTGAGAGAACCTGCAGCGTCAAGGGGGTCGTCTACAGGGAGGAGGAGGGCTGGACAGATGGCTGCAGAAACTGCACATGCTCGGTGGGGCTTCACACATTCGAGTGTGTGTCTGTGTGTGTGTGTGTGTTGATGCGTGTGTACACTGCGCATATGGGTGTGTATGTTAGAGTAATAAAGAGCTAGGGAGGACATTCAATTTTAAATAAGTGTGTATGTGTGTGTAAACATACTGAATCTGGAATTATGTGCTTGTCATACAGTATGTGATTGTGGGGTTGTTTCATGAGTGTGTCATGAAATAAATAGATATATGTGTGAAGGTCTGGGTAGATCTGAGTGTGTATGTGTGTGCATCTATTAGAGAAAGAGAGAACGTGCATTTTTCATCATGTAATGCCGTGTGTTGTTTTGTCTTTGTGTGCATTCATCAGTTGTGTGTCTATGTTTATGAGCGTCTCTCTACATTTACGCATTCACTGCTCCCATTGTAGGTATTGGCTTTTGTTTTGCTCCCCTGTTCATCAAGTGTGTGAAGGTGGGGGGACGGGGGTGTGTGTTTGGGTAGGTTGGAGGTGCAGAGAGCAGGGGCCCCATTGTTGATAGCTTATATTCTCATTATTTCCTTGCAGTAGAGGAGGGTTGCCCCAGTTACCCAAGAAAAGATACTGTATTGAAAAAACCTCCACAGTACTTGGGATTAGACACATCAACAACAGTGCTTAGTAATGCTTAATTCTCTCAACAGTCTACTTTTAGCTGCACAAAGTGTGAATAATTGCCAAAAAGAGAATAAGAAGTAATAGGAGATCTGGGGCTTGTACCACATCAGCAAACAGATTTCACCCCCTGTCAGTCTACTCAGCTTTGGAACTTGAAACCCATTCGCTGCTACTGAACCTCTCCAACCAGCCAATGAGATGCCTTCGCGCACCACTACCCAACATGCAAAAAATAGGAAATCAAATATCTCTCAGTGCACTGCACCTAATTGCTCTTGACAGATGATAATTATCATCAGGGATTTGTTCTGCCTACTCATCCAATGAAATCGCTTCATTCGCCGGGAACGGTGTGTTGCCATTCCCGGGCGGCAATTAAGGAATTAGATGGGATATGTTCCTTACCTTATGTGTGGCAATTAGCTGTGACCTTTAAAATTCAAAGGTCATGCATTACGATGTTATCACTTATGTGGATCAGGTTCATAGATGTTGCTGTCACAGAGCTTTCATCCATGGAAGCAATGTTAATTACAGGCACAGCTGGAGAAAAGGAGGTAGCATTTAAATACATCAGATTTACAGGCTACCGTGGAAATCTACTGTAGGCTACGATTAGGTTTAAAACAAAACTTTTTAATGAGCAAGCATAGTCTTGATTTCTGCCAGAATCCACCCTCCCAGCATATTTTAAAAAATGCAACAGGGTGGAGGATAGTTGGGGGGCAAACTACTGTGTAGTGGCAATCACCCAGGTGTTCGAGCAGTTCAGTTTTGGGGCACTTTGACTCAAATTCGCACCACTGACAATTTCAAATGAGCTTAACAGTGCTGATTCTTGAGGGAAGAGAGATCAAAATTAAAGCATTTTGCATATTAGTTGTGTCGCACCATTTAGTTTTATATAGACTTGGTCTGCCAGAGCATAACCTGCTCCACAAAAAAGACGTGGCTTGGTTTGCGGCCAGTTGTGAAACAGGAGTCAAAAATAGTATGAAAACATTTCTTGAGTAAATTGGGTAGTCTTACTGTACTGGGCACTAAGAGTGGTCTTGTTTTTTTTTGTGTGTGGGACGATGCAGTGGTTTGTAGAGGGAGTGTGGAGAGTGAGTTCTGGGGTAGAGGCACAGTGACATAGACACAATTATTAACTATAAGAACTTGGAATCTGACTGACCATAGTGTAGCTAGCATGCATTTTGACGTGCATGCTGGTAGTTAGAGGTTGACCAGCCATGAGCAGTCACCAATGGGCTGTCCGTGTCTGCACTGGAGAATCACAGAGGCTTGAGTAGTTTTGGAAGCCAATAAATGCACATATACAACCCATTGCCAAGTGGAAAGACAACAAGGACGGGAAAGAGGAAATAGACACACTATGTGAAATAAAAAATTAAAGCAGGATCATGATCTTGCAAAGTTGATGGCCACACCTTTATCCATTTGCTTTCATACTAAGCATGTAATCTTTCTCCCCTAATGTATCAGACAGGCTGAGTGAAGTGGCAGGAGGCAGAGGTGTGGACCCAAAATGCAGACACTTGCGAGGAGGATACAGTTAAAAGAGGATTTACTCAATGAGAACTCATAACGGAGTACAGGGCAGAACACTCAGGGCAATATATACAAGGGCACACCACACACAAGCAGGCAGGGCAATCACAGGTGAGACAAATTAGGAATCAAGGCAGATAGAAAACAAAGCTTGACAAAAACACCAAAATTACAAAATAAAACAGGAAGTAAAGCTACCAACAGTACACAAGGATATAAGTAACTTAAGACAACAGAGAAGAAGGAAGCAAACTAACAAAACCTAAACAAGAACACAGAGGCAACGAGTAAAGCAGAAATTGACATTAACAAAATAACAGAAAAACAACACAGTAAAACCCAAGATCATGACATAATGATGTAACTTCAACTGATAATGTAACAAGCATCTCAAAATGAATGTCTTCTGCTTATTTAATTTGTCCGGGGCACATCTGAGCCGTGTTTATCTGTGCTTAACTAGTAATCTTCCTCCACTAGTAAGATGAAACTTTGATTTGTTAAAATTTAGATTTTGACGAAATGACAAAAATAGTTTTATCTGCAAGAAGTAATAAATATATCTACTACTAACAAACAGAACATTTGACATTTCACAAATATATGCGTATTGGTGTATATGTGTTGGCCAGCAAGTAAAAAACTGCAGTACAAAAATGCCAACATATGTTTATAAATGCATTTTCTTTGGAAAATGTGTTTCCTTTACATTGCGACCCACTTGGGAGCACCGGCAAGTTTATTTTTCAATTGTAAAATGCCTCGGTCAGTACATATCATGGTCTGTAATTATCACATTTAAGGGATCCTTATCAAAAATATTTGAAAATATATTGTCTGTGATGTGTATTTTTATGATTTTTCTTGATATTTATGTAATATCTATCAGTATCAGTCTGTATGCATTGGCCTATATTAGTCACTCTTTTAAAGGTGTTGTTTCTCTCTCTTCACCAGAATGGCACGGTGCAATGTGAGGCCATCTCCTGCCCTCCCCCTCAGTGCCCAGCGGGCACCGCGCCTGCCTACGTAAAGGGTGCTTGCTGCAAGGAGTGCCAGCGTGAGTGGAGTACCCTTAACCTCGTCACCCTCCTACACTCGTACAATCATGGACACAATTGCGCAAAAACACACACAACAGCAAAACAACCTCCATCACCACCAGATATAGAGCACGCATCACGCCTCCACAAGGGCTGCATGACAATTGACCAGGGCTTTGCTGCGTTGCTAAGCTACCTCCAAACATGCCTCTTGAGATGGGTCCATCCTTTTGCATATACATGGACCAATCAATTATTCACTAGCTGGCTTCAAAACACAGATGGCCACCAGTCACACAGACATGAGCCAATAAATCTGGGATCACTGCATGTGATGTAAAGTAGTTCCTATTTATGGCAGACGTGCTGTGAGAAAAGTGAAGAAGAAAGAAATGTTAAACGCCTGAAACGATGTACACTCTCACTGGTGATAGTGTCTTCTTAAATGTCATTTTTTTTTTTTACTTTTGAGCACTGATATGTTCTTGCTGGATAAATAATTCTCTTTCATCACATATCTACATTAATGGGTCTTCTTTTTCCAAAAGACTTTGAGTTCAGCAATGAACTCTTATTAGCCTCCTCACCGCAGCACTCTGCATCTCATATTCTCTCAATTCCCTTCTCAATAAAAATGGATTTCAGAGGATATTAGCTTTTCCACCCCAGAATTCTTCTGATATTAACCCAAATTAAACTTAAAGAGATGTGATGTGTTTGCTTTCAAAAGACAGAACGAGCTGCCTGCCAATGTATAGAACAGAATCTATGGAAATCATTAGCTTAGTTTAGTATAAATAAGAGTGTTTTTAATAACTGATGTTATGAAAGGTTACAGACCATATGAATGATAGAAAAATTCGGCAGACTTTACTTATGTATAGTATTTCTTCATAGATCTCTCTCCACATCTTGTGCAAACTGACTTCACTTGAGAACTTTCACACCACACACTCCCACACACTGCTGCCGCTGCTCTACTGCTTCCCTTGCAAAGCAAATAATAGATAAGTTTTAACTCTTTATCAGCAAGAAACCATTAGTCTTGGATTCTAATCAGCTTGCGTCGGCATCACTTCCACCGACCCATGGGTCGGTGCTGGAACACAGGGGTTTATGAAGGGTTTATGTATGACTCTGAATGTGTTGCCGTGTTACACAAATATAAACACGTAGCAGGTAATCCCCTTAAATTCAACATCCCTGTGCTCACTTATCTCAACGAGGTAGACAAACACACAGCTAATTACGCATGCTCCGGCTTTGGAGAGAAGAGTGGCGCAACTTTCCCACTACAAAGACATGATTTCCTCTCCAAATTAAAGCCTTATCTGGCAGCACAAGGCCTTGCAGGGAGGAGTTCTGAGCCTGTTTTTTTTATTTTTTTATTTGATGATCTGTCAAGTAGAATGTCAAATGGCTGTTTCAGAAGTCCTTCGCTTTCATGATACGCCGCTTTGTGATAGGGCCTGACCTGCAGTGTCAATCATTTCTCTCCCTCATATTAGTTTGAATCTGTCTGACCCCAACTACTCATCCAACTCGGACTTTCTGCTCATGTGATTATTTTTGCAAACCTCTCGCCCTATAAGTATGTAAAACTGATTCGCCGTAGTGTTGCAGTGTTTTCTCTCTGTACATGCTAATTATTTCATCACTTATTTTGTAGCATTGTTTAATTGGGCTTGATATGCTTGATTTGGTTTGACTCAATATACCTGAGGACTTAACATAATAACATGTAAAATAGGAGTGTAGATATGGGTTAAATGTTAATATATTTGGTGGGGCAGGGTTGAAAATATGTGTGATTTGCATAATATATAAAAAATAAGAAATAGTTTGAATAATTAAATACATTTTAGGTTTCTGGCAGGTAAACTAAGCAATTATAAGACAGCAATTTGGAATCTAGAAACAAAAGATATTATTTATTACATTTTAAAGACAGAAGTAATTTATTGATTAATGAAAAAAGTGAGTGGTAGATTAATCCATTCACATTTCCTTTTCTAAATCTACTCAAATGAAAGTTATCAAACAATTTGTGTTTTTTTTTTTATAAAAACTAATAAATCATAGTAGCTTGAATTCACATAATCTTAAACATCTAGCATATGCATTTTTAGAAGATTTCTTTTATGTACTGCATTCACATTCATTAAAACAAAATAAAAATACAGATTATTTTGTTGAATATGATAAAAATTATGATAAAAGTTTTTCAAGGGATAAATGTGATTTTCTGTTTCCATTTATTTATTTTTATGTGTTTGTGTGTTTATTTGTGTGCATGCTGATGATTTTTCTGTGCCTGCTATCAGCAATCTGCCTGTTTGGTGGAAGAGAGCTAGTGGAAGGGAATCAGAAGGCTGTGCGCGACTCCTCTGGCAGGTGTCTGCTGTTTGAATGCAGGGTAAGTCTTGTCAACGCGCACACACACACACACACACACACACACACACACACACACACACACACACACACACACACACACACACACACACACACACACACACACACCTAGAGAGAGAGAGAGAGAAAACCCACTTATACATACTCATTCAAAATGATTTTATCAATCCTCTGCAGGAAGAGACACCACAATAACTCATGTAACCAAGCATTTCAACTCTGTTCATATGTTAAATGTAAAAATTGTGGCAGTGCTTGAAGCTCACTAAATACTCATTTCACAGCTACCTTGCCCCGACCTGAGAGGATAAATCAAGCCTCAATGAGCCAGCATGCAAGATTGTCCACTTCAGCTGAATTTCATTGATCTGGCTTGTCATCGTTTTCTTTGTGATCTAAAGAAATTGGCCAAATCCTTCTACTGAAGTTTACATTTGGAATCCAGAGCAGTGCTCAATCATAGGATGCCACAGCCATTCTTCAGAATCAATCATCAGATACCACAGTGGTCCCAAATCATATTCATTTCCCAATTATTCAGAGTATTTTCTTTTGTCTGCCAGATGGGTGGGTCGTTCACTTTTGGGAATAATTCACTTCATGACATTATGGCAGGCATGCCCAATCAATCACAGAAAAGTGAATTGAAGTTTTTAATCACCCAACTCTATCGTATCAGCCAACTCCTCTATGAATTCTGCAAAGCTCCATTGGAATCTGCAGTTTCAGACAGCTGTCTAGCTTGCTTGCCCACACCTGGCCCATCTGTAGTCCCAGTCAACTGACTGGCAGTCCCAGGCAGATCAAAGAAATGGGGACGGGGAGTACTGTCAGTCGGCCCACTGCCGCAAACTCCTGCAGGCTTCCCCTGACAGCTGCTTGTCATGTCTCTGATCTTCTGTCTGCCTGCTGGCTGTAAGGGGGGCACAAGTTTTGGGTGGTGGGTGGCAAGAAGTAAGCGGCTTGTTTGGAAAGTTGTTTGGGGACTTTTAGGGGAAGTTTGTTCCAGAATTTCATGAGGGCATAATCAGTCAATGTACAAGTTGAGGTCATGACACCTCATGGAGACATCTTGTACACAGACTGGTCTGAAGATTATTACCGTAAGTAAAATATGTGTTCACTACAAACAGATAGAAAAGCCTTTGTCTTTGTCCAACTGTGTCTAGTGTTAATGACTCAAAATTAGCATCAGTCAGAGGGACATGGATGAGATCATCAGAGAGTACTGCCAAAGGCATGCTGGGAAAAGGAACCCCCTAATCAGGTTTTACACTCTGACTAAACACACATGCAGGGATTATCCAGAAGATTGATTCACTGTTTGTATAATAAAGATGCATCATGAATCATGATATAAATCACTGAGGATAACAGGAGGAGAAGAGAAGACAGCTCCTCCCCCCTTCCAGGAGTAGTTTGGGAAAATACTGCTATTGACCAATGAGTAATTGGTTTGTAATGAACACACAAGGAGGAGGGAGTGTGAAAAAGGAAACACAATATATGAATAATTACCTTCATAATTACATGCAGGCCCTAGCAAATGAGTGGAGGGCAGAGTGGACCTAAGAAGTAGCTCATGAGGATTGTGTCTCTGCCCATCACAGGACAGGACCATGCATCGAGTAGTCCCCAGTGAGCCTTGTCCCGAACTCAACTGTGCAGAGTCGGAGCAGATCACCTTGAGTGACAGATGCTGCAAAGTCTGCAGAGGTATGGAAGAAACATCATCCAATACCACTGCCATGCCATATTTTTTATGGTGCAATATTATTATTTAAAGTTTTTATTTTCACATTTTGCAGGTTTTTTGTCATCCCTGGTTGCCTGTAAAGTTGCAAATCAGCAATCATCCAAATTTGATCTGTAATTTGTAATCTATAATGTGTAGAAAATGGGCTTCATGTGTTCATTTGATTCATATTATTTCTACTTTTAGCTCAAATATATCTCCAGTATCTGCTTTTGAGATTATGAAATCAGATGTAACAGGGAAAATATTATAGCAAATTAAGATAATTTTGACCTACTATGCCTTGGAAGCCACAGTACGGATACTCAGAGAAAAGGTTGTGAGACTACAACATAATCTTTCTGCAGGCACTGTATACCTCCATCACTCCTGTCCTTTTCTCTCCTCTGGGTTCTCAACCTTTTCCTCTTGGTGCCTCCTGCAGGTCATGACTTCTGCTTAGAGGGCCACAGCTGTGTGGAGCACTCCGACTGTGTGAACCTGGAGGCAGGAGACTGCTGTGTTTGTAAGGATGGCTTCCGTCCACTGCGAGATGATAATGCATACTGTGAAGGTATGGTGTGGCTCTGAGTAGCTTATCCTAACTTTCTGCTATATTTACCCTCCAGGAACTGATATGTGGTTGGTTTTTATGAATGGGTTGCATCAAAGGGTCATGCTTGCTTTTGGGAGGACTAGGTAGTTTTAATTCAGTGTTATTTTTACACTAAAGAATTTACAGTTGTCATGGTGCTTCAACTGCTTGGTCTCAGCTGAGCTTTTTTTCCCCCCACCAGATTTTTGACAACTGTGCCTCTGATTGCCTAGTGCTTGTTGCCTCTGTTGGTTAGGTTGGTTAAGGTTAGGTTCATTCATTTTGCATTTCACGAGTATTATTTATAAGCCATTTCTTTATATGTTTTTATATTTACACTTTAGACTTGCCCATATAACTATGAACAATACCTTAAAGGATAATCCAAGTGTTATTTTATTTAGTTTATGCCAGTTCTGTTGTTTACTTTCTACCTGCCGGGTCACCTCACAGTCAGCATATTAGGGGATGTCATGGCTTATTTTCCACCTTTCAGAAGAAAGTGTTTTCTGCTCTTCATCTTGCAACAAAATGAAAAGCAACTTCCACAGACTTGCCTCAGGCCTGAGGTAGATAATCCAACACAATAAATACCAGACATCAATCTTTGACAATTTTAGTTATATTTCTTTGTTCCTGGGTTTTATTTTTAATGAACATGTGACATTACTCTCTGCTGACCTGACCTGAAAGAATTCCCTCAAAAATGTTGGCTTAAAAACTTCATTGTCACTTGAGTGCTGTCATTTGGGCTGTTTTTGTTGAATCTTAAACCAAAAAGTGAAACGTTAAAAAATGGAAATGCATACAACATGAATTGTAAAAGACAAGAGACATTTGCTAAATACCCATGGAAACACTTTGTTGAATTCATGCTTTTATCGCATAATCCTTCTGTGATGGGAGACTGTAATCCCCTCATTATTTGTGTCCACGTCATGCTATAGCTGCTTTTCAGAGTGCATTTTGAGAGACTAATGTTTGTCTCCTAAGTCAGTTGATAAATGTGTGATATAAAAACATGATTTTTATGTTTGCATATATTTAGTGTCTCTCTGCTGGGGGAGCAATTAAAGTCAAACCATCTATCATCAATGAGGTCATTCATCACTGATTGCATACTACAGATGTCTATAGCCATGTCGCGCTGTTAAGTATACCACAATGCGACTGATTCTATCAGCATGTTTTACTTGAGTGTCTTTTGAATGTCCCACATTACATGATGGAAAAACATCCTCCATACCTTACTCAGTGGATCATTTCACGGTGATGGTGAAGCTATGAAAAACCTGCTCAGAGTTCAAACATTCACACACTGAATTGACGGCGCTTCAGCTGAATTCCTCACCTCACATCTTGACTGAATTTTGCCAGATGCATCGTTAAAAAATGATGACTTTATCATCTCCAGTGCTTTCCTGCAGTAAAATATGTAGTAAACATCATGTCATAACTGCTACCCTGTGCATTTTTGGTATTAATTAGCAAACATCACATCAGTTATTCAGATTGTTCTGCATATGACCTTGACAGCTGCCATGTCAATATACAGTCTTCTTCTTTAGAGCATCTATTTGCAAGTACATGCCTTGGCAAAAAATTTTTTAATACACAGTCTACACGCTCCCTGTTTTCTGTCACTTTCATCAAGATGAGGCAAAAGTGTCAGTCAAGCTGCAGAGCTTTTTGTCACTATAACCAGAGTGCTAAATGAAAAAGTAGTGGTTCACTGCTTCTGCACATCTCGCATTAAGTGACAGATATGCAGTTGTCCAGGTAATTAGATGGTCTAAGGGAATCTGCATAATTGAAGATACTATCTTTTTTAAATTAATGGGCAGTGATGCTGTTGATGAAATGGCAAATCCTGGCCCGATTCATCACCACCACGTCATTCAGACAGTGGTGGAAAGTTATTAACGTTTAATCAACCACAGTGCTGAAGTACACAGTTGTTTTTTTTTGAGTAGTTGTCTTTATGGTTCTTTACACTTGCTATACATACTATGCTCCAATGCATTCCAGAAGTTCAAATGTACCATTTTTCTGACTTAAATTTATTTGACGGCTGTATTAATTACTTTGCAGATTAAGATTTTACATACAAAGCATCTGTTAAAAAGATGATGCACTGAAACAACTTGAAAATGCTGCTTTTATGTTAATACATCCGTAACCATAATATAATCATCAAATACATTTAATTATACAACACCTTATCACAAGCCATTCCGAATGGGTAATTCTTTGAAAATGGCTTTGAGCATCTATTTAATTCAAGTGTCAAAGACGAAGATAAAGCATGATGACAAACATTTGATTCCTAAATGGGGTCATGAGCGAAGGCTAGATTTTTGTTCCAACCACACATTAATGCTGTTTTGCCCTGAAAATGTGCTGAGGAAAAAACCTTGTCATTTTTGCAGCTTGGTTGCGTTTTGTTTCATCTTTATCACATGTGTAATAGCCAAGCTCCACAAACATTTTCAGCAGTTGATTGTTGTAGAAATAAGGATAGAGCAACCCACCCCATTACCAGTGTGAAACTGAGTACAAGCAGACAGACTTGTGTATACAACATAAACACTTCAGACCCACACTATTCATCTCAAGAGCAGCTGGACTTTCGCTATGAAATTGGATGGCAGTGTTTGTGGTGAGTGTTTGCATCAAAGACTGCACAGAGAAATCTGAAATTGACTCAATTTGCTGATGGAGCTCTCTCAAAAGCAACTGATATTTTATGTGTCTCTGTAACCGTCTTACGATATGATTTTTGTGTGTGTGTGGGGGGGGGGACTCTTGCGAAAACATTGAGGATCCTGCAAATGGAGAGAGTGTATGAGTTCATATAATAGGTGCACTATTTTTGTGGCTGCAAGGAGATGTACAGAAAGATGACTGAAATTGCCTGCTTTCAATTCTAAATGAGTTTCAGTACTGTGAGATGAGATGAGAAGTCCAACTTAGAGACAATTTTCTGTATTGAACACAGCAGGGTAATAAAACAGAAAGACATGGGGGCCTACACAGACACACAGGTTTTTATGTACACACACCTACACACACAATATTTTTTGGGTCTTGCCAAACGTAAAGAGAAACTTCACAAAAAGCAGAGACAGATACTAGCTCTTTAAAACATTCCTAGGTCAGAGTGGGCTCAAAATAGCCGATGAGATCACTTCTGTGTAAATTTTTCATAGAAGCAGCAGTAGGGAAAACTCAAGGGGATACTAGCCCTGCCTTTGTGTAAGTCTGTGTGTGTATATGTGTGCAGGTGCATGTCTGCGTATGTGTGTGTTTGAGTGCTGAGTTGTCCAAGAGAAAAAGAGACAATTTTTTTCCCCTCCATCCTGTCCTCATGGTGCAGTTGGACTGAAGGCTTATTTTGCTACATGCATGCGTGTGTTTAGGACAGAATTAGATGGAGGGGCAAGCAGTGGAGAAGTGACAGACTGTGTGATTGTCTCTATATTAAACAATCAGTATAGTTCAACGTGTTGAGATAATACCATTATTCATCTCAGCATTGTAGAGGACTGCAGGCAGAGAGACATCTCCTATTGTTGTCTGGTTTTTGAAATGGCCTACTTTAGAAATTCTCTGTCAGGATTGCTCAAAAAGAAGGGCTGCTTGGCCATTTTTGTAGCATCCATATGGGAAATGTGAAATACAAAATAAAATAGAAAGAGACAGTGTGCGTTGTTTTACTAACTCGCTATGTCAGGGACAGTGCAGATTATTTGAACGTACTGAATGTACTACATTTACGCAAATCCGTATATTGATAGTATTAGATAGTTTGATTAGTAGTTAGATAACTACATAAACATTAAAGGATCGGTTCACTCAAATTACACATAAAAATGTTCTCACACCTCTTCTGATATCTAGCCATGCAGATGGTTTTGAGATAGCTGTCACTGAGAAATACAATGGAGGAGAATGGTATTATGTTTGTGACAGCATTGAAAACGTACAGGCTGGAGATATTCTGTATTTGTCTTATATCAAATAAATCCCGTGAAAAGTCTAAAACGTACAGTGTGTTAGTCTGTCTTTCAATCCTTACTGACTTCCTGGCCTGTCTTTTGCAGGTTAAATCAACAATTTGACATAATGCCAGTGGTACACAGGATAGTTATATGGGTCGAATTAATGTGGAAAGTAATACAACTTTGATAACGTTAGCAACTGCTTGGCAAACTAACGTGACTTTCGCCGTATTTCTACAGCTAATCAGAATCAGCTTTATGGCCATGTATGTGTACACATACGAGGAATTTGACTCTCGATTGTACAATGGTCACGATGTGCTTACTTAAACAATAACACAATAATACTGTAAGAAAATCAAACACAGGCTACAGTATAGAGAACAAATATACACACTATAAACAAAAACAGACAGATTGAGGCAATAGCGCAATGAACAGAGTGCAAAGGATGCAGGAGAAAATTATTATTACCATTTATGTTATTATGTACATGTCAGAGGTGGATGTGATACACAGGTGCACATACACGTACGAGCATACATGTACACAGTGTGATGAGTGCAAAGAATGCTGGAATAAATAACTATAATGTGCAGGTTTTATGTACATGAGGTAGGTGGATTTGGTATACAGTATACAATATGAACAGTATAAACAGCTTTGAAATGGAGAATGATGAATAAATAAATAAATGGTAAGTGGTAGCCAGTAAACAGAAATTATTGCACAGGAATGGTTCCTTGACATTGTGAGTCAGATTTAGTTGTTCATCAGAGTGATGGCTTGTGGGAAGAAACTGTTCCTAAGTCTGTTTTGGCGTACAGTGATCTGTAGCGCCTACCAGAGGGGAGAAGTTGTGAGATGAGGGGTGAGATGAATCTGCAGTGATGTTTCCTGCCTGTTTCCTGACTGGAGGGCAGGTTGGCACCGACGATCTTTTCTGCAGTCCTGACTGTCCGTTGTAGTCTGCTCCTATCCTTTTTGGTGGCAGATTCAAACCACACAAT